GGAGGAGGAAGAAGGAGGAGGAGGAAGAGAAGGAGGAGGAGGAGGACGAGCAGGAGGAGGAGGAGAAGGAGGAGGAGGAGGAGGAGGAAAAGAAGGAAGAGAAGGAGAAGGATTTATACTCTGCCCTTCACTTTGGAGTCTCAGAGTGGCTTACAATCACCTTCCCTTCCTCTCCCCTGCAACAGACACCCTGTGAGGTAGGTGGGACTGACAGAGCTCTTTCAAGGACTGCTCTGGAGAGAACAGCTCTGACAGAACTTGTGACTGACCCAAGGTCACATCAGCAGCTGCGTGTGGTGGAGTGGGGAATCAAGCCCAGTTCGCTCAGATTAGAGTCCGCCACTCCTAAGCATAACACCAAACACGCTAGAGACTCGTCAAGAAAAATTTCAGGGGTCAGGACAAGTAATCTGTTTCGGCCGGGAAACCTACCGCACTGCAGTCAGATTTGCAGAATGGATACCTTCGGAAACTGGTTGGGTTGTTGCGGCACTCTTTGGAGGAAGACCACCTCCATGGATCTTTTCCCCAAAATGTCCCACGCAGCTGCACTCAAGGAGTGCCCAAGAGACTTGCCTCGATCCCCATGAAAATCCACCCCCTTACCTCGTCCAGTTTCCTTTTGATCACGGCCAGGTAGTGGTCAGGTAGGGGCTGCTCGAGCAGAGGGGCCAGCTTGGCCTTCAAAACCTCGTCGCTCAGGCAGGCATCAAACTGCTCGACGCTGTCGTACTGGATGACGAAGAGCGGGTCTTCCAGGGCGCTGGCCGTGATCGGGCCGGACTGGCAGCCTGCTGGCAGAATTCACAGGGGAAGGGAAACCGTCTGCCCGAGAAAAATCTACAAGCCTGCGGGATGCGGGCACCGTCTCTTTGGCTTTGCAACCCCCTCCTCCAAATTGGGCCCACAGTCCTCAGAGTCCCCGGGCCTCCCCTCCCCCCCGTGCCAGAAGTCCCTTGGGAGGTTTCCCCAATCACCGTTTCCCTCGGGTTGCCAGCCTCCAGGTGGGGCCTGGAGAGATGACAACTGATCTCCCGCCAACAGACACCAGTTCCCCTGGAGAAAACGGCTGCTTTTAGAAGATAGGCTCTCACCCCACTGAGGTTTGCCCCCTCCCCAGACCCCACCACCCCCAGGTTTCACTCCCTTCCCCAGATCTCCAGGAATTTTCCAGCCCAGAGATGGCAACCCCAGTTTTCTCCCTGGAGGAAAAACCAATATTTCCTTGGCTTTTCCTTTCTGCCCTCTCCCACCCATCATCTTTCCCTTCTCTGGACACCCTTGCCTCCTATAGATATATATATATAGATAGATGTGCTGTCAGCACTGAATAATTTCCATCTATGGATAATTTCCCCCTCTTACTTTCCGTCGCCCGTTTACTCCTGGCCGGGGAAGCTGAGTTGGACCCCACGGATTTTAAGAGGAGGAGAGTCTTCTGTCTCTGGGAAGGGCTCTGGCTGTCGTACGCCTCCGCCACGTTCCTGAAGAAGACCATCCTCTCTTCCTGAGTGAGAAAAGGAAATTGAAGGAAGCTGGAACATCACGGATGGCTCTTACACAAAACCGGGAAGGAGGGAGAGATGGGGGGGGGGGGGGGGAGAGAGACCAACGTACTGTTGGATTCTCTGCTCTGCTATAGCCAGAAAAACCAGGAGTAAATTAGCAGAGGGCACTTAAGGCTTGCCACACACCAGCAGCTTCTCTGGTGTGTGCGCACGCTGATAAGGAACAGATGTACACGGAGCCTCTTTTAACTTTCAGAGCTAATGAGAGCCCTTTTTATTGAGGAACTCCATTCCAGACCGTAAGGTGCAGAGATAGGAGACGTCTCTTATCTAATTAACTAGGATGGATAAGGATGCAGGAATCATGTCTGGCATCCATTATGCCAGCAAGACAAGAGTTCTGAAAATGTGTGGGGGGAGGGAGGGAGGAGGGGGAAGAGTGGGGAAAAGAGGGAGAGAGTGGAGAGGGAGAGGGAGAGGAAGAGAGAGGGGAAAAGAGGGGAGGGGGAGGGGGAGAGAGGGGGAGAGGTGTGACAAGACAGAAGCAAGGAAGTGGTCCTTGAGAACAGCCTTCTTGTTCATAGGGACGGCATCAGATACCAGGAAGGAAAGGATGCTCTGTGTCCTAAACCCCTTCTATCTTTCCAACTCTATTGTAGCCCCCCTTTGAAGTCTGAGGCAGGAGACTTTGCCGATTCCTCCACATCCAACAAGTGCAGGGGCCCCCCCCCCCCCCCCCCCCCCGGCGGGGGCCCCCCCCCCCCCCCGGTACCTTGTCAACCGACTCCCAAGTGGTGCGGTTCATGTAGAACGCCAGCGGCCCCAGGGCCTGGAGGACTCCCTCGTCCCAGGAGGCGGGTTCCCTGTGCCGCAAGCAGAAATGCAAAACTCGGTTCTCGTAGGCCCGAATAACACCTTAGAGCTGCGGTTCTCAACCTGTGGGTCGCGACCCCTTTGGGGTCGAATGACCCTTCCACAGGGGTCGCCTAAGACCATCGGAAAACACAAACTTTCGATGGTCTTAGGATAGGGCTCCCAATTTGTAACAATGAAAACACATCCTGCCTATCAGATATTTACCTTACGATTCAGAACAGTAGCAAAATGACAGTTATGAAGGAGCAACGAAAATAAATTTTATGGTGGGGGGTCACCACAACATGAGGAACTGTATTAAAGGGTCGCGGGCATTCGGAAGGTTGAGAACCACTGCCTTAGAGTAGCCACAGGGGTAACCCTTGGAGGCCAGCACCATTTTAAGAGGAAAATTTAGGCATTTAAAAACGCCCTACCTTCACACAGTTGTTTTGGCAGTTGAAGAGGCATATTGTGGGGGGCAAGATTGCCTGGCAGCTATTTTGAAATGGCTAATTTAGGAAGGACTTCCTCAAAGTTAGAGCAGTTCCTCAGTCCTTTGGGGTCGAATGACCCTTCCACAGGGGTCGCCTAAGACCATCGGAAAACACAAACTTTCGATGGTCTTAGGATAGGGCTCCCAATTTGTAACAATGAAAACACATCCTGCCTATCAGATATTTACCTTACGATTCAGAACAGTAGCAAAATGACAGTTATGAAGGAGCAACGAAAATAAATTTTATGGTGGGGGGTCACCACAACATGAGGAACTGTATTAAAGGGTCGCGGGCATTCGGAAGGTTGAGAACCACTGCCTTAGAGTAGCCACAGGGGTAACCCTTGGAGGCCAGCACCATTTTAAGAGGAAAATTTAGGCATTTAAAAACGCCCTACCTTCACACAGTTGTTTTGGCAGTTGAAGAGGCATATTGTGGGGGGCAAGATTGCCTGGCAGCTATTTTGAAATGGCTAATTTAGGAAGGACTTCCTCAAAGTTAGAGCAGTTCCTCAGTGTAACAGGCTTCCCTGGGAGATATCGGGCCCTCTTTCCTTGGAGGCTTTTAAGCAGAGGCTACCCCTGACCCGAATGGCCCAGACTAGCCCGATCTCGTCAGATCTCAGAAGACCCAAGTGTGCCGCATGACGGAGTGAGCTCCCGTCTCTAGTTCCAGCTCCTGCCAACCTAGCCGTTCGAAAGCAAGAAATTGCAAGTAGATAAACAGGGACCACTTCGGTGGGAAGGTAACAGCGTTCCGTGCGCCTCAGTGTTTAGTCATGCCAGCCACATGACCACGGAAACGTCTTCGGACAGCGCTGGCTCTTCGGCTTTGAAATGGAGATGAGCACCGCAACCCTAGAGTCGGATTCGACTGGCTTTCGAGCAAGGGGACCTTTACCTTTTACCCCTGACCCGAATGGCCCAGACTAGCCCGATCTCATCAGATCTAAGAAGCTGAGCTGGCTAATATTTGGATGGGAGACCTCCAAGGAATACCAGGCAATGGCAAACCATGTCTCTTGCCTTGAAAACGCTATAGAATCGCCATAATTGAGCTGTGACTTGACAGCGCATTCCACCACCACAGAGCCCGCGTGATATAGTGGTGAAGAGCAGCAGACTCTAATCTGGAGAACCAGGTTCGATTCCCCACTCCTCCACATGAAGCCAGCTGGGTGACCTTGGGTCAGTCACAAGTTCTCTCAGAGCTCTCTTAATCCAAAAAATAAATCTAGCTTGCCACCTAGTGGCGTATAAAAAGAGCTAGTACGTCAGGCAGCCGGCCCAAGGTCGCTCAGCAAGTTTCTATGGCAGGTCAGGGGGATTCGAACCTGGGCCTCTCAGATCCTAGTCTGACGCTCTAACCACCACACCACACTGCCTCCCACTCACCCATACTGAGTCTTCCCGCTGCTCAGGAGGGCGTTGAGAGCCGATTGCTGCCAAGTGGTGAGATCAGGGCAGAGTTTCAGATTCTCCAGAATCTCCGGGTCAGAATTTCTGATGGTGTCCGGATCCATGTCGCACACAAAAGCCCCGAGTCTTTGAAGTTGCTCCTTTGTGAGTGAGGCATTCGCCACGCCCTGGAGGAGGAAGAAGAAGATGAAGAGATTGGATTTATACCCCGCCCTTCACTCGGAGTCTCAGAGCGGCTCACAACCTCCTTTCCCTTCCCCTCCCCACAACAGACCCCCTGTGAGGTAGGTGGGACTGAGAGAGCTCTGACAGAAACTGCTCTTTTTCAAGGACAGCTCTGACAGAACTATGGCTTGCCCAAGGTCATCCAGCAGCTGCATGTGGAGGAGTGCAGAATCAAACCCGGTTCTCCCAGATTAGAGTCTGTGCTCCTAACCACGACACCAAACTGGCTCTCTGGAACAAGCAGTAAGAACCACCTTGGACGGAGTGAGTCACCTGCTGGCCCATAGCTACAGTGGGGCATTAAGGGGCCAGCCCCACAAGATTTCCTTCTGAAAACAGTAAGGGATTCCATTTCTTTAGGCAGGGGGAAGGGTGGGGGGGGTTATTTTTGCATTTCATTTATGTCTGGGGTGGCTGTTGTAGGGGGTGTTCGTGCTGCATTTAATTTAATTTATTATTAGTTTGGTTGTTTTTATGATTACTTAAAAGTACAGTGGTTTAGAGACAGACAGAAAGATAATGGCAAATAATATTTTTCTCCAATTTATATCCAGCCCTTTCCGCCAAGGGGAGCCCTACCAGAAATTTTTTTGCCCCACAAGCCACGAAATCCTGACTACGAGCTTGGTCTACTTTGAAGAAGAAGAAGAGGAAGAAGAAGAGGAAAAGGAGGAGGAGGAGATTGGATTTATACCCCGCCCTTCTCTCGGAGTCTCACAGCAGCTTACAAACTCCTTCCCCTCCCACTCCCCACAACGTTCACCTTGTGAGGTAGGTGGGGCTGAGGGAGCTCTGAGAGAAACTACCCTTGAGAGAACAGCTCTGCGATAACTTGTGACTGACCCAAGGTCACACCAGCAGCTGCATGTGGAGGAGTGGGGAATCAAACCCGGTGCTCCCAGATTAGAGCCCGCGCACTTAACCACGACACCAAACTGTGCTTATTCTGTGTCCTTTCAAAACGTGAAGAGAGACTATTCCCAGCCTGGGAATGAAGATTATAGGGAGAGGTCCTCATGACTGTTCCACCAATCAAAGAAGCTTGTATGGTGGGCACACACGACACGGTCTTTTTGGTGGCAGCACCACCCTTATGGAACAACTTCCCCAAGCAAGTGCGCCCGGCCCCCCTCACCTTCCATCTTTAGGAGGCAGCTGAAGACGGTTTTATTTAGGACAGCATTGGATTAAAGCAGTCCTAAACTGTGATTTTAAAACTTTGCTTTCACATATTTTTGTAGACTTCATTTTATATACTTTGTTTACTTCGTATCATAAGCCAGCCTTGAGTTCCATAAGGAAGACAGCTCATAAATGGTTTTAAAGATATTTTAAAAATATCCCTTACAAGACAGTCTAGTGCATTATCTCGGAGGCTGGTCCGGTGAGCAGAACCGTCGGTCAACAGGGAGAGGTTCCCTTGGGATGCTAGAGTGTAAAACTCTCCGCAGCTCCGGTTGTCAACTATGCCGAGGCTGAAAGAGATCAGAATCTTCATTATTTGGGGTCTGAATGGGGAATCCACAGAACCACCACCACTCCGATATCTCGCTTTTGCTAACATTCAGTCCGAAAGTTTACATCTCCAAATCTGGTCCAGTTCATTATGAGAAGAAGGAGAGAAAAAGACGAGATTGGGTTTCTACCCCGCCCTTCACAGAGCGGTTAAAGTGAAAGGTCCCAGAAAGGTCCCAGTTCTCCTATGAAGAAAGGTTAAAGCGCTTGGGGCTCTTTAGCCTGGAGAAACGACGGCTGAGGGGTGACATGATCGAGATTTATAAGATTATGCGTGGGATAGAGCAGGTCGAGAAAGAGGTCCTTTTCTCCCTTTCTCACAACGCAAGAACTCGTGGGCACTCCATGAAATTGCTGAGCGGTCGGGTTAGAACGGATAAAAGGAAGCCCTTCTTCACCTAAAGAGTGATGAACACCTGGAATTCACTGCCACGGGAGGTGGTGGCAGCTACAAGCATGGACAGCTTCAAGAGGGAATTGGATAAGCATATGGAGCAGAGGTCCATCGGGGGCTACTAGCCACAAGGTATAGATAGGAGCTCTCAGTCTGGGGCAAGGGATGCTCTGTCTTCTTGGTGCTTGGGGGGGGCAACAGTGAGAGGGCTTCTGGTGTCCTAGCCCCACTGGTGGACCTCCTGAGGGCACCTGGTGTTTTTGGCCACTGTGTGACAGAGTGTTGGACTGGAGGGGCCATTGGCCTGATCCGACATTGGCTTCTCACATGTTCTTATCTTCTTATGTTCAGATTAGAGTCCGCGCTCCAAACCACTACTTGCTGGACAAGCTGGTCATTTGTCATCGGGAAAATGCTCCTTAGATTAGGCTTCTTTCTCTCTTTTCGACTGCAATCTGAATGTGAACTGGATCGACTTGATCAATGTAAGTTTACCTTCTTCTTTTTGCAATATACTTCTTGGGGCATTTGTTTATTGCACGCAGTATCATGCTTCTATGACTGGGCAAAGCTCTGCTATATCAACCAAATACCCCAGTAAAGGTATAGGTAAAGGTTTCCCTTGCTCGAAAGCCAGTCTAATCCGACTCTAGGGTTGCGGTGCTCATCTCCGTTTCAAAGCCGAAGAGCCAGCGCTGTCCGAAGACGTTTCCGTGGTCATGTGGCCGGCATGACTAAACACCAAGGTGCACGGAACGCTGTTCCCTTCCCACTGAAGCGGTCCCTATTTATCTACTTGCAATTTCTTGCTTTCGAACTGCTAGGTTGGCAGGAGCTGGAACTAGAGACGGGAGCTCACTCCATCATGCGGCAACCCAGGTCTTGAACTGCTGAACTACCAACCTTCCACAGCCTGCAGTTCAGCGTCTTAACCACTTGAGCCACCGCAGCTCAATACCCCAGTAGGAACAACCAAAACATTCCTGTCTGGAATTCTCTCAAGAGGTACTCACGGGAAGAAAAGAAGGACGTCTGCCGGGTAGCTGGTAAAGTTTGCCCCTTGGTTGCCTCTGGTGAGAAGTTTCGCCATGCAGGAGAGCTGGTGTAGGAAGAAAGGCAGACACCATTAGGACTCTCGCGAGCTCCCCTCCCCCTGACAATCTCACTGCACACCATGTCACTGCTGCATACGCGAATGGTAGATTCAGACGGATAGTAGCCGTGTTTGGTGCACATGAATGCTTACACCTTGAATAAAGCTTTGCTGGTCTTAAAGGTGCCACTCGGCTCGAACTTTGTTCAATATGTGAAAGGGCAGGGGTCATTTCCTGCGGGAGCGCACAGGAGCGGAGCTCCGGCAGTAAAGAGCCCAGGGGGCGGGCATATGCAACAAGCCACGCCCCCTGCTCCCAGCAGCCCTCAATCAGGCCAGAAGAGCAAGAAGTAGCCTGGTAAGTTGCAGACCCGCCCACCTGCCTTCAGGTACAAGCTCTCCCTCCTCTGTGAGGGCAGATCTGCGCATCCCCCCCCATAACTAGCAATCCAAAACAGTCCAGTGGAGCCTGAGCGGTGGGTGTTGCCTTCTGACACACATCCGGTGATGTCAGGGGGTGTGGCATATGCAAATAAGTTATGATAATGAGTTATGCTAATGAGCTCCTGCGCCTCTTTTTCGACGAAATGACCCCTGTGAAAGGGCCATTCTGGATCAAACCCCATGTCAGGTTCAACAGCAAGTAAATCTCCACACACGTTTCCGGGGAATCGTTATGCTTTATTAGACTACAGGTCTGTTGCCACGATCCACAGGTATATTGTTAGGAATGACAATGGGGCGGATGCATCCCTTCATATAACATGATGCTGCAAATGGCTAAGCAAATGAAATCCAAGCGCGCGGGGGGGGGATTCTCCCGGCGGGAGGTTACATAATGAACGGGAGAGTCTCCGTGCCTCACACCAACGGTGGAACGCAAGCCCTCCCTTCTCCTCAAGGTTAGTCAGAGAACCCAGTCTGGCAGCGCCAGTTCGCACAGTCTCATGAGCGCCTCCCTATCGCTGTTTACAGCAAGCGAGCAAGCATGCGCCGTAGCGCCACATTCAGGAAAGGACAAACACAGATGAAATATGGCAGCTAGCTGAGATCCCACAAGCTACACAATGTGCTTTCCCAACGAGTCAGTTCCCATGTTCAGCTGCCGGCTGTCCAGCGTGCGCTAGCAACAGGTGAAGGCAGTAGCTGGAATGGCATGGCGGCTCAGAAATATCGCAGAAGAATCACTTCTCAGAACTTATTGTTAGTGAGAGTTCATTCTCAAGAAGATTGTGTATAATTTACTAGAGTGTAACCACAGTGTATCAGAATACCGGACTGTAAAGATGCCCCGTATATATGGTGTTCAATTTATTATTATTATTATTGAGGATTTCAGCTAGACAATAAGTTATATAGTTGCAAGATCCTCAAATATATGGTAAAAACATGAAAAGTAGAATTGTCTAAGTAATGTAAGTATGGGACACAAGCAGTGTTCCCTCTAAGCTGAGTTAGTGTGAGCCAGCTCACAGTTTTTTAGCCTCCGGCTCACACATTTTTGTCTGAACTCGGGAAGGACGGGCTCCAGAGCAAACTAACTGATGCAGCAGGCAAATCGCTCACTCACAACTTTAATCCCAGTAGCTCACAAGGTAGAATTTTTGCTCACAAGACTCCACAGCTTAGAGGGAGCGTTGGATACAAGTATATCTTTTGGCAAAATACATTAAGGTTTCACTCATCGTGGTGAGTGTTGCTCTTTTGTGGTTTAATTCACCGCGAACCCGGTTTTGTTCATTTCAAGGCTCAGAAACTGAGCCACAAATCGGGAAGCAGAGACACCATCTGGGCTCTGAATTTGTTAGACAGGCACTGGTGTCCCCCACCCCACTGGGCATACTAAAGCCATCCTACCTTACAAGGGAGTTGTAACGTACACAAAGGGCTATGAGCCGGCGGTGCGGCAGAAGCGCCTTTCTCGATGAGGCACGGATTGTCCCTTCTGCTAATCAGAGTCTAGGGCTGCCAAATCCCCCCGGGGGGCGGAATTCCCCCCACTTTGGAGCCCCGATTTCCGCCCCCGCGGAATCGGGGCCCGGGGGAAACCCCACCCCCGCATGCACGTCACTTCCCTGTGACGTCATCACGCTGGGGCGGGGCACAGCCATTTGAGGGGAAAACATAGAGTTGCACCGGGAGGCAACACAAAGCCCCCCGCCGGCACAGGTGAGTACATTTGGCAACCCTATCAGAGTCCCACCCGCCGGAGTGAACAGACGCAGTCAAGGTTTGGGGGGAAGGATCCAGCACCCTGGGCGGGGGCCCAACCTGACCTCCCCCCCCCCAGTCGCCATCTCCAAGGCGAAAGAAGGCTACGGAGAGAGCAGAGGCCTTTGGCTGGGGCCACCAGGTCCTCTGACGGGCTTCTGTCCAAAGTAGCTGCTGATCAAGCCACGGAGACATGGAACGGTTGGGGAGAAGAAAGAAAGTCAGAAACATTCCCCCCCCCCTTGCTGGAGAAGACGCTCCCCCCTTCTACAGGGCTATCCAAAGTATGCAAACCTGTTTCTCCTCCTTTCGGGATTCTACCCGGCGCTCCAAATTCAGGCTGCGATCACAAATCCCGAATAATCCACTTTCAGTGCACTTTCAAACTGGATTTTACTGTGGCTGATTCTGCACCCATCTCTTTCCTTGCAGTTTTTCCCCAGCCACGTCAGGAGGTTCATCTCCCTCTACGCAGCATGCCGCTCTCGCTTTCTTTCTTCAGCTGGTTTTATGGCACCTTCTGCATACATTTATGGCCTCTCCGGGGTGACTTCGCGGTCAGGACAGCGTTGCCCCCGGGGAACCTGAGCGTGGTTTTGAGCGGCACCTTTCTCTTCCTCCGCTTCCGATTCGAAGGGAACAATAAGCAGACAACCTGGCATGGCTTCATTGATCTCCGTCAGTTTCCCCACCCCTATTTCCCCATGAATTACTTGACTCGTGCAGCTGATGAACACCGCTGAGGCAAGGACCGACACAGGAAGATCTGCACACCAGTGCAGGAGCAAGCGTTGAAAACAAAACAGATGGCAAGCTGAAACTAGCCAATGCAGAAACCAGGATCTGAGGCAATGCGATGAAAACAGATATTCCAAGGCAAGGGGGAACCAGGTCGAGTGCTGAGAAAAATGTGGAGCGAATGCCAGATGCCGAACGGACCTGTGTGAACTGGCAAAATCCAGTTGGAAAGTGCACTGAAAGTGGATTATTTAGTGTGTGTGATTGCAGCCTCAGACACGCTGGCCTCATCCTGAAGTCTGACAACCAGGTCCCACCCCCTCGGTGATGTCCCACGCCCCCCCCCCCTCTGTCCAAGGCCAGCCTCTTACCTGCTCCTGGCTCAGATTGGCATGTTTCGCCTCCACTTCCTGGACCAGGGACTCCAGCTGGGGGAGGCTCAGTCTGCTGGCAGCGCCGCACTGGAACCCTTGCAGGATGCGGCCGGAGAGCCTGGAAGCCGGGGAGAGGGGATTAGTCCTGGGCCTCTCAGGGGAACAGTCTAAGGGGAACACCCTCAGAGGAAATGTAGCATTGTGGTTAGAGTATTATACCAGGATCTGGATTCACGTTGCCAACTCCAGTTTGGGAAATTCCTGGATATTTGGGGGGGCGGAGACTAAGGAGGGCAGGGTTTGGGGAGGGAAGGGGCTTCAGCAGGTTATAAGGCCATAGAGTCCACCCGCCAAAGCCGCCATTTCTGCCAGGGGAACTAATCCGGAGACCAAGAAGCCCTGTGAGGAAAGGCTGAGGGACTTGGGAATGTCAAGTCTGGAGAAGAGGAGGTTGAAGGGGGCATGACTGCTCTCCTGAAGTATCTGAAGAGCTGTCACTTGGAGGAGGGAAGGGAGCTGTTCCTGTGGGCAGCAGAGGGGAGAACTCACAATCATGGGTTTAAATTAAGAAGAGAAGAGAAGAGATTGGATTTATACCCCGCCCTTCACTTGGAGTCTCAGAGCGGCTCACAAACTCCTTTCCCTTCCCCTCCCCACAACAGACACCCTGGGAGGTGGGTGGGCCTGAGAGAACTCTGACACAAACTCAGGGGTCATTTCCTGCGGGAGCGCACAGGAGCGGAGCTCCGGCAGTAAAGAGCCCAGGGGGCGGGCACATGCAACAAGCCGCACCCCCTGCTCCCAACAGCCCTCAGTCAGAGCGAGAAGCAGCCAGGTAAGTTGCAGAGGCCCCCCCCCCCCAGGCCCCCCGGTCCGAAACAGTCCAGTGGCACCTTTAAGACCAAGTTTTATTCAGGTACAAGCTCTCCCTCCTCTGCGAGGACAGATCTGCACGTCCCCGTCCCCCCCAATGGCTAGCAATCCAAAACAGTCCAGTGGAGCCTGAGCGGTGGGTGTTGCCTTCTGACACACTTCCGGTGATGTCAGGGGGTGTGGCATATGCAAATAAGTTATGCTAATGAGCTCCTGCATCTCTTTTTTTACGAAATGACCCCTGCACAAACTGCTCTTTCAGGAACAGCTGTGGCAGAGCTTGTGACTGACCCAAGGTCACATCAGCAGGTGCAAGTGGAGGTGTGGGGAATCAAACCCGGTTCTCCCAGATTAGAGTCCACACACTTAACCACTACACCAAACTGGCGGGAAGGTACTGGCTGGATATTAGGGAGGACTTTTGACAGTCAGAGTTGTGCCACGGTGGAATCAGCTGCCTCGGGAGGTGGTGAGCTCCCCTTCACTGGCGGTCTTCAAGCAGCAGTTGGACAAACCCTTGTCAGGGATGCTCTAGGCTGATCTTGCATTGAGCAGGGGGCTGGACTAGATGGCCTCTAGGGAGCCCTTTCAACTCTGTGATTCTACGATTCTATAATCTCTGTAGTCTGGAGATTGCCTGTCATTCTGGAAGATATCCAGCCCCCACCCAGAGCTTGGCAACCCCGATCTGAAGAGAGACCCAGGTTCAAATCCTCACTCTACCACAGAATGTCGCGGGGTGACCTCGGGCCAGTCACCCCCTCTCAGCCTCGCCCGCCTCGCAGGGTTGTTGTGAGGATA